CCTTTTGCGGCTTAGCAGACGACGAGTGCGGTTCTTGATGATTGGAGGTTGTTTGTAGCTTTTTGGGACCATTTGAGGAACTGAATGCTCAGTAGCACATAAGATCGTGTGCAGTAAAAAATCCCAATGAGCATCCACTTCAATTTGAGGGTGAACATCTCAATCCACCTGCTGTAGATAGTCATGTAAAGCTAACACATTCAACCGTTTGAAATTCCAGCGCCTGTTGTCAGTAGGATATCTTAGCTCCGTTTTGCTGACAAAGCTGAGTGATAAGACGGCGTGATCACTTTTCCCCAGGGGAGCCAGGATTGAGAGTTCGTCGACTAGGAATTCTTCATTTGTGAATACCGAGTCTAAGCGCGACGGCGTCTTACTGTTTCTCCAACGAGTTGCGGACTTTACATTTTCAAATAATCCCAGGTCACCGATGAGGTTGAAGAACAGAGCTTCAGTAAAGTTGTCACCTCCAATGTAAGTATGTTCCACGAAGTTGATTCTAGGAAGATTGAAGTCCCCTAGAAACAGGATTTGAGAGAATCCGAGACGCGTAGAGCGAGCTAATCCTTCCAGCAGACGTTTGCCATACTCGATGTCGGCAGTGGGCTTCCTGTAGATGACCCCAACTAGACACCTCGAGGTGGTAGACAATCTTACTGAGCACCATACTGACTCATCAAGATTGAGAAACTCTTGGTTGTGAAGCTGGTGCGTCTCCAGGCATGACCGTATGTATAATGCTACCCCAACCCCCTCTCCTGTTTTTCTGTCGTTGCGAAATAATGACATTCCAGGTATTCCTAGTTCCTGGTCCGTAAACGGAGACGTTATCCAAGTTTCGGATATTCCTATCAGATGAACATCATTAGCGTTGCTAAGTTCACGTAGCTCATTCATTTTGTTTGACAAACTCGCGGCATTCGTGTATAAGCAGTTTATGCTTTCAGTTTGGAACGCGTGAGCTTCTTCCTGTGTGTCCATATGTGCCGTGTGTGAGTGGACAGGTAGCCTACCTATACAATGTTTACCGAGTTGTTAGTCCCTGTCCTTTAAACGTTTTTTTTATGATCAAGACAGTCCACGAGTGGAATTGTCGGCTCCAGCTTTCGTTTATGCTTGATCCTGCTGTCGTGGGACCTATCCGGATGCATATGGATGCCAGTTGGCAACCGACGTATATTGGCACGAAATGCTTCCAGAGTTTCAGCCGCCATGTGGGAGGAGGGGAAGGTTATCTTCAATAACCGGGGTCTAGAGTCTCCGTCTTTCTTGGCTAGTCGCATCACCTGTTGGGTCAGTATGTTTTTGAGTTTCAAGGAATGCTTGATGAATTTCCATTCCCGAATATCAGAGTTTCCTTGAGTTGTGTCCATATGTTCCTGTACACCTTGCAGAATGATATTTCTTCCACGCGAGATTCTTTAGGGATGTTCCGGATGAGATTTCGTTCAGAATACGGTATGCCGTGCAGTATTCTTACGTTCCGATCGGATTTCAGTAGGTGACTCGCTAGCAGGACGTCCTCTACGTCGGAGGCATTTTTAAGTGTAACACGAAGCAGCCTCGGGTGGTTTCGGTGGTTAGAGTCCTTCCCCGTACCTAAACAGAATCGAAAAGACCAACCGAACATACATCAGAAGGAATCCAGAGGAATCAATTACATCTATATACGTGGGAGGATTTTTGTATGGAAAACGGTCAAAAAGGCTCTCGCACCGTAATGCCCAGCTGTAAATCGTAATTCTGATTCCTCGAACATTTTATAATTCCATTTAGTTCTGATAAGTAAGCAAACATTCTCAAGGTCACTTAGCTTCGGTCAAAAATCGTTCGCAAATTGTAATCTCGCCGCTATATCTGTGAATTAAAATGCTCAAAATTTTGAATAAACGGATTCATTCGTCATTGTTCCCTCAAAAGTTATTGCTTGAGAGTTAGGAATAATTAGTTACAATAAATTTTATTCACGACAAGGACGTCAATATATAAAATTATGGTCTGGTTCAGCATGGGTACTGCTATAATAATTGACCTAATACCAAAATTGTAGATTTGTCATGATGCGACTACCTAATCCATGAGATCTTATATGAAAGTCACATTATTGTCTACACTGACTCATCTTATCGTACACTTTGGCAATACAATGTTCAACATTTCAGAAAAACATATATAAAATGAAAATAGAATAATATATTTAATTTGAATGAAGATAAGTTATACAGAATGGCCAATTCTCCAAGGCTGAGTCATGCCGCTAGGTTACTTGGATGTTCCCGCGTTACATGTTGAAAATGTTCAGCTTCGAATATCATATGGTTAGGAACGAAGACCCCAACAAACACTCCATTCGTGATGCATGGTTTCGACGTCTTAGAGAGAACGAATGGAAAAGTATGAGTAAGTAGTTATGATAGTTCAGCCACTGCCGGATAAGACGATGAAATCCGTCAAGAAAATGACGTCGAAGTTATAGGTAATGGAGTGTATTAATGAGCAAGTAGACTAAACATTATAGAAATAAAAAATCGCTGCATTATTGTGGCTAGTTGTAGTAACGTAAAGCACTCCACCAACAGTTATAATGATTTTTTTTTCTGAAACCCTAATTTATAGTTGAAATTGTATTTATGTAAAGTATATGGAATAACTGGCATACTTAGAAACAATTTCATAGAATCGGAACATCTAACAGATAGAAAGCAAACTCGTTATACGATTTAAATGGCATATCAGATTAATGTCATAAAATTTGAACCTAAACGCACATTTTTCAGACATCACCAGGCGGATAGGTCTAATCAGTAACACCGTTGATCCTTATACAAAGGTTCGTGTCTCACTCTTAACGTATAGAATGTGGATGAATTGCAAAACCTCACAAACACAACATTCGTTAAGTCATCTATCAGTCAAGCATAAATTGCCTTCACATGAAAAACCATACGCTTGAATTACCATTGAGGTCACTCCTTTCAAATCAATCCTCTGGATATGATAAATGGACATTTGGTGCTAACTTGTGGATTAAGAACATACCTTACAGCTTATTCAACGTGCCCAAACAACATATTGTAATTCCCAGTCGAGATTTATTAGTACACATCATAAATTTTATTTCATTGGTTCCCTCCATGAATATAAATCTAGAGCAATCATGGATGCATAATAATATGTATCCACTACATTTCGTGTTTTCTCATCAGCTGCTTACGAATATTTATGTATTGTAAGTTTACAGTGAGGTAAGATATAGTATGAAACAATTGACATAGATGAATATAAAAGAGTTGGAATGATAAGGGTTATCAGTAATGAATCTAATTATATGCGGGCGGGAACTGTTCGGAGGCCATTTATTATTGGAATCCAAAAAACATAAGAATTGGGCGATGCGTTAATTAAGTGAGGTTTGGAGACAGGTAAGATAAGTTGTGCGATAACTTCAGAGGCTATGAAGGGTTTACATAAGATCTTTGGGATTTAAAATTAATACGATGGGTTGAGTAATAAATGATCATGATCTGAAGAGTTTACATAAATTTAGCACGGAGTTTGTGTTTTGATACAATTTAATACGAGTAACTCAAAAACGCTTTGTACGCTACACCGAAGAACGTAGCCTGGTCTAATCGAATACATTTTAGTTCCTCAATTCCGCGTTCAAACCGAATATTGGCATTTTGGTCGTTACTGTGAAGTGTGATCGATAGACGGACGCATCAACGATAACGCACACCACCATATTAACTTTCTTTGACTTTGTATGACTGTGACTTGTTCATTCACCAACCAAAATTTTACGTTCATTATAAAAAAATATTCACTTTGCCGACTCACTTTTTTCCTCCAGTTACTGTTCGGTATATTGTTTATGTCTCTCCTTTGCTCTGCTTAATAAACTGTATTGTTTAATTTGTATGCTAGCAGAGTTAATTTATATTTTAGAAACAGATAGAGTTTATCAAGCCAAATAACTTACTTGTTCTGACTTAGACTAAGCCGAGACTCTGTGCTCGATAGTCTAGAGAATAGTTTAGAATTACACCCAAAGTAAATTACTTCCTACAGTTGCTTACCTAACAAGCTCGGCTGCCAGGTTAGTAATTGACGCAAATTCAAGAATTTCTAGATTATTAGTATGCTTGATAAGTCTAAAAGTCAGTTGTGTGCCAGAAGCAGACAACAAACCACAACTTGATAAATAGGTAACAGTCGCAGTGTTACTTAAAAATGAAGATACTTTCGTGCTGGACTGCAAATTAAGTCGTGTGCCTCTCTGACCTCCGGAAGAGGGAGAATAGGGCTCAACCCGTGGTAACGAGTTCCCTCAGATTTGAAGCTGCGACACATCAAACAATGCTCAATTCGTGTAAACCACAATTCAGAGTAACTACGATAAAATTCTGTGAGCCGGTCTTTCTTAGTCATAAAAGTTTCTATCTCTAATGGCGACGAAGCTCACTTATGTTCCAGGCTTTTGTTCTGAATTTGTCTGATATGTGGTACATGCCCATCATATTCATATTATATAAACTTTGTTATTGATTCCGGCACGAATATTGTGCCACAAAAGCATGTAATATATATATATATACGAGGTTTATGTTTATAAAATCAGGTTTACATTTAAGAAAAAACGACAAGGTTTCACACAAAAGTAGATTCCGGCTGGTATTCCTCAAGGGATGTATGAGTATTTTCATGACAAAATTTTTTTCAACTTATTTAATATAAAAGGGTTATACAATTCAATTAGCTTTTGAAAACCAAATATGGGCAGTGAACGGACACCGTCCTGAATATTTCTAATGATTTCAAAAAAGCTTGATAACATTTAGTTGCTCGCAAAAACAATTATGCCATTTTTTCACTCCATCCAATATAATTTCATTTCGTCATAATCAAGCTTAAGCTGTGATTATCATTTATAGTATATTGAAGGAGTGTGGCAAATTTCTACTGGTACGTTACACTTATAGGCATATCCACCGTGACGGTTTCCTAAAAAACGACACTGACAAGTAAGAAGGAAAAGTTTCAGCAAGTAATACTATATGTATACAATGACTTACAGTTTCAATTAGGCACAACAAACACGATCAGTTTGTCACGAGCTGCAGTGAACGACCAGTTAACACATGTCAGGATACTTAGTGAATTCCACTCACCAGCTCCAACCCCATGCACCAAACACTTTACTCGAAGACCGTTGCATAATATCGTCGTTGAACCAAGTTTGCACTCAAGATGCTGCCGCCATCCGAGAGCAGATTTTCGGTTTTAGCTGGTCATTCGCGTGCCTTGTTTGAAAAGACAGTAGTATTTTTCCTCGCTGAGTAATTTTTATTGTTTTGATCGATTCGTCCAACATGTTCATCTCATTTATATGAGAATTTCCATCGGAAATGTGTGAATCATTAGGACAACTCTTATCTGTGGAATGACATGAGAAATCTGATAAGGATTGATTCATTAGAAATTTTTGATTCACAGCGATTCTGACTTGTATTTGATACATTTGTATTCCTTGCGCTGCTCCAAATAATTCTCGAATACTAGTCTCTACAGCTTTCTCGGCAAATATCATGCGAAACATAAGCTTGTTAAGGCCTAAGTTTAGTTTAAAGATTATGCCAGGCCAGCAAAGCATCAATTCTGGACTGAGATATGACTCCATACTGCCTGTTTATACAATAAAGCCATGGAATGAAACAAGGGAGGTAAATAATTGCTTATAAATATAAACATTATCTTCTGAAATTCTGGATACAGATAAATGACCATTAAAAACACCCAACCTAACGAAACCGAATCTACTGGGTTCGTTCAAAGAACTCAATGTCTGCTCAATAAGCTTGACATAGGTAAATCCACAGGGCCCGATGAATTGCATCCTAGGCTACTAAAAAGATTATCTAACGTCGTTGCGAACCCTTTAAGTATATGTTTTAATCTATCCGTAACCCAGGGTCGTTTACCAAAAGACTGGAAGAATTCCATAACAAGTCCTGTCTTCGAAAGAGGTACGAAACATAAACCTGAGAATTACCGAACGATTAACCTAACTAGTGTGGTTGTTAAAATCTTAGGAAAGATCATTCGGAAGGAGTTGTTTAAGTACCTCGATGAAAACCGGATCCTTTCGGAGAATCCGCATGGTTTCAGAATAGGTTATTCTTGTCTGACTAACTTATTAGTCACTCGTGAAAGCCGGTGCGCTCCTAAGGACCAAAATTTACCTTCAGGCGTAGCCTACGTCGATTTCAGCTAAGCTTTTGATAAAGTTCCGCACAATCGGCTGTTATATAAGCCAAGAATTGTCGGGATTGGAAGCAATCTATTGATGTGGATAAAAGGCTTCCTAGTTGGGCGCCAACAAAGAGTAAGGATGAACTCCAAGTTGTTTAGCTGAGAAACTGTGCTTCGTGGAGTCCCTCAGGATACAGCTTTGGGGCCAGTGTTATTCCTCCTGCACGTAAATGACCTTCGTCTACTATCATAATCAGTCTTGCTATATGCTGACGATGTCAAGATATGGAGGGCGATACAAAGTAAGAGTGACATCTCAGAACTCCAAAATGACCGGGAGAAATTATCTGAATGGTCTCAAACCAGGCAGTTGCCGATAAATACTTCCAAGTGTATTGCGATGCATATCGGTCATCAAGGTACAGATACGTACACGATGAATAACACTGAGCTACCTGTTGTCCAGACACACAATGTCTTAGGAGTCATCGTTAGCCAAGATTTAAAGACTATTACACACTGCCGTGCAATAGCTGCCAAAGTTTTTGGAACTTTATGGTCAATACGTGGGGCTTTTAGTCATGTAGACACTAAGACGATTTTGACTTTGTATACAGTGTTCATGCGTCTTAAACTTGAGTACTGCATACAAGAGGCTAGCCTCTGCTTAAAAAATACAGTAAGCTTTTGGAAAAAGTTCAGAGAATAGCAACTCAGCTAGTTCCTGGAATAGCGAAGCTCCCGTATGATGCTAGACTTGCCAAGCTAAACCTATTCCCGTTGTCATATCGAAGAACCAGAGGCCACTTGATTACAGTTTTCAAATTGCTTAGTGATAAATTTGCACATGATATGCCCTCATTTCTCTTCTCTTTCAAAACAGAAAATTTACGAGGACACTCCAAAACAGTTCACAAGCCCAGGACAAATTACTTGTCAGCTGACTATCGAATTTCCCATCGAATCATCAACGAGTGGAATTCATTACCACAGCATGTAGTTAAGACTCCATCCGTCGACTCTTTCAAAAGAAAGTTGTATCAACTGAGAGACCATCATTGCCAGGACTAACACAGGCCATCAATCTTCCTGTCCTGGCGCGTATGTATCTGGTGCCCTTTTGTACCAGTATATATGTGTTTAAATAAATAATTTACTGTCCTTTCCAAACTGAAACTGTTAACTGGATTTCAGCCCAACTGATTGTTTACTGTGCTTAATTATAATTTCTAGTGATTGCATACATGAGGCATTCTTCACTGCGATTTTCCTTCTTATTTGTCAGGCTGCCTCATAATGTTTGCTAGATATTCGTTAAGATTGCCAGGATACAGACGTTCACTATATAATGCGAACTTATTCGTAGTCCTAATAAATGGATCGCAGACACTGAAACAGTGCTTTTTTATCAGAGGTAGTTATTTCGATTTCGCGGTCTAAACAATCTACATATCTCATTGTCACTGATTGCCTATCTGATATTTTCTTCAATAAATGTGGGCACATTGTTTCCGTTTTCTGGGTCCTCGAATTTATTTTTTTTTCTTCCATTTCCAGCTCTCTTCATGCTACTCTGCATGCTCTTCTAGTACGCAAAATACCCTGCTGACTAGTTGCGAATTGCTACAAAATGCAGTCCGGTTGTGCCAAGCTTGTAGATCCTATTGATTTAGAGTATTTCCTACCAGAGAACAAAGTGGAGGTATTTTCATATATTAAGTCTAACCCTTCCAGAAGAAAGCAGAAAAATGTCCTCCAGATATATGTAAGCTATATTAGTTCTACTAACGACATAAAGTTTTCAGTTTGGAAACCAATCCTATTACTGATGGTTCCGCGTACATTGAAGTAGGTGAAATTAAAGTCTCATGTTCTGTCAATGGTCCTACTGAGGTATACTAGTCACGTATTGCGAGCAGTTAATATGATTCTGATATAGATGCGCCAAGACAGCCAGTTGGTTGCAGTGCTTAAGTTTGCGCCTTTCTTGTCCTGGTTACCGAAAGATGTTCAAGCGTCTATTGAAAAAAAGCTTAGTCGACTTCTTCTTAGCGCTATTGAACCTTCGGTCATGCTTGTAGGTCTAAACCATAATTATTTGATTTTGTTTGATGGTTCTTCCTTATTTCATTTTATTACTTTGCACGCAAAAGAATACTTATAGCGTTTATTATACGGTTGTAAATAATCAGCTTATTCGTGTAGTGGTCTGACAAAATCTTGTTATATACTGTCGGACGACCTTATATGTCTGGAAGTAACATACTTCCATGGTTTTCACATGGTTCTTTCTTACAAACAAGAGAGTTCTCACCTTCCAGTATCATGTAATGCAGTTTATCAGCCAATCTTTGTCATACAACCTTTAAATTCTCGCTATTTCTTTGCATACTTACATGTAAATGCAAATGGTTTATTTTGTATGAAAGTCAATTCTGAGTAGTAATATGTATGTGACATGACAGCGAACCGTACAAGATATGGTCAGTACAACGCTAAAAGTATCAGTCAGACATTTTCAATATGCAGCATTATATAAATGTGCATTAGCCCGGCTTAGCACACCCCATTAGCACAGCAGAATGAAATTAAAAATATCTTTCACGAAGAAATGGAAATATTAATAGCTTCATTGATATTAAGAAAGAGTAAACATTTAACCATTTGACTCGATAAAATAAAGGTAAGAAAGATGACTAAAACCCAATATCTAGGGGATGTTAAAAATAAATCTGCCACATACGTAAAGGTATCATTTTTGATGTCTAATTAGTTTCTACTTGCTGATGTGGTCATCAGTCAACATAGTTACAAATGACTAAGTAATTCCAGTTGAGTCATAAAAAAGCTTTCTTTGTTGCCTCCGACTGCCCTGATACGACTGAGAGTGGGGAGAGCCAGCTCTTGAAATGCTCTCAAATGGCCAAGTGCATACAACCGCTGTCAGGGAAGCCCTACTCACTGCCTTCTCGCGGAATTACTGTTGTTTACAAAATTTGGAGGACGAAAAGTGAATGTCCATCGCTTTAGCCGAGTTGGTAGACACAGAGAGTCCATCTAGGGAAGTTAGAAAACCCTGACTGCATACCAGTGGTGCACATGCGCTACAAGATCGTAAGGAAACAAATGGCGTATGAACCAATTTCCGGTCACCGGCTACCATGGAGCTGCATCTCCTTACGATGCTCCACTGTTCTGTGGATTAGACTTACACAAGTCGGATGATTTATGTGGCGTATATCTATTTGGTGCCTCCTTGTATCAATGTTTATGTGTTTAAATATTGAATGATAAAAGAACCAACTTCTTGAGATTTCCGGTATTATGGTTTGAAATTAATCACTACAGTTCATTTGGACCCACCGAATTTGGATCTTTCTCTTAATATTTTGTGATTTTAATTGCTTCATTTACATTTCCCCTGGTGTTTTTTGCCACTTCTCATTGTACTTTCTATTTATTTCTTTTTCAATATGAAAGCACCAATTCCCAAGAGGTAAATATGAAATAGTGACGAACATCCTGGATATACCTTCATATAATTCCAGTGGATTAATAGGAAACTGTCTAGCTGCTGCCATTACATGTGCAGGTTTAGCTCTGCTAAACTCAGGTGTTCAGATGTACGATCTTCTAGTAGGATTAAATTTGGATCTCTCTGCTCTTGGTAATGAAAATGGACACCTTTGTGTTGCTGTTTTACCTCGTCTTCGTCAGTTCTCTATGCTTTATGCAGTGGATTCATGCATGCCTAACACTGAGTTTCTCAAAAATTCTTTAACTCACGCTATGGACAATTGTATTAAACTTGCAGATGTAATCCGAAGCCATCTCTGTGGACAGCTTAAAACTAAAATAAAGTAAATATTTACGGTCTTTTTGTTTTACTAGTATCCGATGTCAAGTGCTGAACCTTAGAAAGTAAAGCTTCCATTATCACCTGTAGGTTGTATGACAATAGTCAAGGTTTTCTTTAGAATAATGTTTCTTCTGAATAACTTGTAAGTATTAAAAAAGTTTACGGTTTTTGTAGTTCCAAACATTTCCTCACTTATATCCGCAAATATATCCCAATCCTCTGAATAGCTATCAAGGGATCGAAAATCAGCCGAAGTGTAAGTTTTGACATTCGCATGCACAAAAATGTAATTGACTTAGTACAGACTCATCTATCTAAAGCTACTTTGTGTGAGGGAACTAGTGATACGACCCGGTCGCCTAAACCGAAGTAGGTGGGGCGTGGTTCGAAAATACAACTTAGCGGTTGGAAGTCAAATGCCTTATTCAGCGGAGTACACATGTTTACAACAATCAGGGCCACAGCGTAACTGCGATTGGCCTAATGCAATTAGGTTTGTCTTAAGAACTGCACTCGTGGGGCTGTGTTAGTGAATTTTTCATATTAAGCAATCTGGTGATAGTATTTCCATTGACTGATAGACAATACTGAGGTAACCTACCAAACACTAGATGGGTCTTGCGTTTGACACTATAGTAGTGTAAGTGTAGATTCTTATGGCCTACTATGGAATATAAGTTGACGAAGTTGAATTTAATGTTGGTAAATATGATTATTAGTTCAGAACTCTCAGTTCTTAGATGAATAAGATCATATATTCGTCATACAAGAATAAAACAAGACGTATAGCCGATTTGCGTATTTTTGGTTTCACTGAACACAACACACAAGAAATTTCCAGAGTTGCACTATAGTGTAACCGAAAAGTAGTAAATTTCTTTACTGTTGTTTATCGCCGCCGCTTCTGCCATTCTTTTTGCCTTAGCTGGTATTTTGGAATCTGGTAGTTGGTGAAACGATTTCTGAAAAAGATAGTATAATGATTCACTTTCAACCCAAGAGACTGGAACGATGGACAGAACAAACTAACCGCCACCCATAAGTTGCCTACTTTTACCAAACAGCCAAAATCAGATATCAACGTAAGCCCCCAACTCTTAAAATAGAACCTGCCATAGCTAATTTAAAACAAAGGAGAGTGACAACTGAGGTTTTTAAGGGCAGTGATTCAGTCGCTACATTGGCTGAGATAGTAGCTAGAGTCTGTGAACTTGGCACAGTTCAATCTGACTGGTGCCAATCGCTGAACATTCTAGCCCATATGAAAAGATAGAAATCCTCTTGTGATAACTTCAGATGAATCAGTTCAGGTAACTGTCCAAAATGCTAATCTCAATAATCATTCAACGCCTAGCTAGTGAAGAGCAAACAAGAGAAAACCAAGCTGGTTTTAGACCCACACATGAACGTGTAGACTAAATATTCTCCCTTCGCCAAGTTCTGGAAAACAGACATACCTACTAACTTAAAACCATAGTTGTATTTCTTGGACTTAAGGTAGCGCTTAACTTTGGGGATGGACAGGTTTTATTGCAAGCGTACCATTAAAGTATGTCGACCTTGTACAAGCTCTCTACTCGAAAACTACTGGACATTCTTCTAGAGATAACATTTACTGTCTGGCATCGACCTTCCATCAATAGACTTTTGGTAACATCTCAAAATCGTCCACAATGACGCAGACACTTAAAAACTTTATGCCACCAATCCATATTTTAACTACGGATCATCGTTGAGCAATCAACTGAATGGAACTCGTCACTATATAACAACCTCCTTGATTATGAGAAACCACCTAACAGCGTAGATAGAACCTTACGGAATCCACACGACGGACTACGTTGCAAAGTGGTGCATAGAGAACACCTGACAGACGCATTCTAAGTGGATTTTGAAGACTTCTACATCTGACGGGAAGCACGGAATAAAATGGATAGGTTGGGTTCAATCAGACGATTTAAACTTCACAGATAACCTAGCCGTTCCATCCCATACACACCAACAAATGCAGATGACGACAAATAGTATAGCAGCAGCTTCTGTATCAGAAGCCTCAACATACACAATGGAAAGTGCAACACGAATAACAACAAACCAATAACACTTGATGGAGACACTCTGAAAGAGGTGGGATTTTTCACGCACCTAGTCAACACCATCGATAACAAGGATCCGATGCAGACGCAGAAGCAAGGATTGGCAAAGCAAGAGCAACACTCAACTATCAAAGTCAGAATCTTCAATACGAACGTCGAGACAGTTCTATTGTAAAGAGCTGAGACTTGGAGAACTACCACAGCCATAATTAGAGAAGTACAAGTTTTTATAAACAATTGTCTACATAATATGCTCAATGCCGTTGGCCGGATATCATCAGCAACAGTTTACTGTGGGAGAGAACAAATCAAATTCCAACTGAAGAGAAAATTAGGAAAAGACGTTGGAAGTGGATAGGACGTACATTGAGGAAATCATCAAACAGCAAAACGAGGCAACCGCTAACCTGGAATCCTGAACGGAAGCGGAAAGGAGAAAGAACACATCGCGCCGGGGATCGGAAGCAGACATTAAAGTAGGAGCAGCTGAAAAGGGTTGCCGGGGACAGAGTTGGATAGAGAATACTGGTGGGCGGCCTATGCTCCTCCACGAGGAGTAACAGGCACTGAGTAATGAATGAAATCCATATTTTCTTCTAAAACCATATTTTCTATACCTAGTGTTTTCTATCATGACTAATATTGTCAATACCTTTATTAATCTGGAATTCGCTCTGACAACTTTATTCTGCTGTGCGAAGAGGTACGACAACTTGGACCAGTATATGAATGTGCTAGGTTCTCCGTTGCGTTTGAATGACCAAGTGACTAATACCAAAAAATAAGACTTTATCAGTATCATTACCTAACTGGACTCTGTAGTTAATGTAATCAAAATCGATGACAGAATACCCGGATATGAGGAATCAGACCAAAATGAAGAGTCATAATGAACACTGAATGTAAAAATTAAGATGACAGTTTGCAGTGAGCTACTCAGAGAATTTTTGATAAAATTAATCTAATGAAACTTACGATGATGCTTTTCAATCTACGAAGTGTACTGTCATTTCCAGGTGTCTTTATTTTAATAGTTAACGAATCAGGATTGTATGACTGACATATGGACGGCGGGGATTGTATGTAGTTACGGATATTATTAATGTGCTATCTGATTTGGTACAACGATGAATCGATCCAGTTTCCCGAGTGAAGTCGTAAATGAATATTAAAAGCCAATTAGTGATGAATATTTGTTGCGTTCTACAATTAAACTGAAAATTTGAGTACTTTACAAACAGAAATAAATCTCGCGAGAGCGGGTTCGTGGATGCGCACTGCCGAGGAGTCCCATAATAGGACGAAACGGTCGTCCAGTACTTCCAGGTTTTCGATGGTGGTCTAGCCTCAATTGACTCATGATCTTAACTATAGAAATAAAAAAGTCACAAGAATAGATTCATCTTCTGGATATTCACTATGATCCTAAGCTCATCAGAATAACGGCAGAAATAAATGGTTTATCAATTACCACAATGTAACTCGGGAATGTTGATCAGTATCACTACTCAACAGTGATCTAGTGTCAATCACTTTAGGAACACTCATTTTATCTGTAAATTTCAACTGTAAACACTGAAAATGAGTTTTTTTTTAAAATATATTAGCATGGTTTAGCAAAACTAATACGTCCAAATCTCAAAAGTTTTTATTTTCAAAACAAGACAAAAAGTCATGGCCGTGTGTACAACAGAATTAATAATAACAATAGTCATATTAATAGAGGAATAGTAAAGCTGTCATAAATTTTAAACTCAATCTCTGAACAAGCAAGGTAAGACAAAACAGCGCAAATTGGCTTTCTGATTTGGTAGACGCTTCATCTTAACAAAAAAAACTAATAGTCTCTAGTCGTCCAGGTTCAAATCGAATTCAGAATACAATTCTCGGACTAAACAACCTCGATTGTTCGCTAACAGACCAAATAGTATTATACATGAATCTTTGGCTTCATTGTAAGCGTGTAAACGATTACGACACTTAGCTAATTCCACCTCTAAATCAATACAACTTTGATTTGGTCGCTTTGATAACAGTTTGTTAATACAATTTTCTATTTCACTGTCGTCATTCAAGTCGTCTTTGTCCTCGTTGTCGTTGACATTATCAATACTAACTTTAGCAGGGTGAATATTTTCATTCCCGAGGTGTCGTAGCTCAGTGTGGAATAAATCGGTTTTTTGATCAATATCATTTAGGTTTAATCGACTTTCCTGGAAAAAATAAACATAGTATATGGAATATATACTGAGCAAGACTTATTTCACTGCACTTCAGGTTCAATCAAACACTAGAAATTAAATCGAACCACATATGTCGTGCATAATACTTGCACTGAATAGTATAAGTACTATCACATTTAGACTATAAATCCAAGATAGTACATTGAAAATATACAGTCTTATTGAAATGGATACACAATAAAATACAGGAATTCGGTTGATTATTTCGGCACATAAAGTGCAGGAGTTTGAGAAATAGAAACTTATAGGTAGACGTCTGTACAATCCCAGCGATACAAGTGAGCAAATAGGAAACTAAAATATCCACCGGTTTGACTCGTTGGATAAGTGTTGGTTGAGAAAGACAGAGTAACAATTATCAATGTTAAGTATTATAGGATTACACGACTGTTGCTGCTACCTTGACGTAGTGTTCGGGCTTGCCCATCATGATAAACCAATCAGGCTATACCGGTCAGAACAATCATTCCTAAAAGTCCTACCATGCCAGACAGGGCGGTATGAATGAAAGCAGCAAACTCAAGGTTTGAGGGCAAAGTCGTACCGCTGACTATACGAAGGTGTGACGGCAGAAAGGTTTTCCTTTCAGAAAACCAACATAACAGCGATGCTGCTTTCCCGCAAGGAAGGGTGGGGTTAGAAAAAGTCGACCCTGAAAATGCACACCTCGCCTTATCCCACGGATATCTGTCTCCGGCGGTAAGGTCCTTTGAAGAACGGAACTAACACAAAAAGGTCGTGAGTGACCGACCCCAAGCAGTTGTCCCTTGTGCACTGCGGTCACCCTCTCAGGTCACTAAGACCACTTCTAACCCAATTTCCTTTTCAGGTACCTCTAGAAGCACCCTTCCATGGTGTGGGCTACCTAGAAGTGATAACCGCACTCAAGACCACTGTATTCATAATCAATTTCTATCAATCCTCCTACCTCGACTATCGACTTTAAACTTCCTCCTAAAGTGCCATCATGGCTAAGGACTCTAGTGTGCGAAATGCTATCCTAAGTCTACTGAAGCGTCGCTACAAACAAAACATTGGAGCCTTCAATATACGTGCCCTATGTCCAGTCGGCCTCCCTGGCTAAGACCCTAGAATCCCGTACGATTGATGTATGTTGTCTCCGAAACACGCATACAGGATCCTAGTGTGGTCATTCGCTTGACCTCACCCAGCCAAAATGGGAAGACGACGAGATACACCTTCTGTTTACCTCGCGGACTGACGGGTGTAGGCATAGCACTAAGAGGGGAGAGAAAGTACTCTTAGGATAGATTCCTGTTAACAGTCGCCTATATGCTGTTCAGCTAAACGGCTCCGTAAGAACTCGGGAAAATAGCGACACACGTCGTTGCCTTTTCGTCATTTCTGCCTACGCTCCCACTGACTACATTCCGAGTGAAGTGAACGATCGAATAAGACAGTGAATATATCCAGGGTAAAACAAAAATCAAACTGATAGCTCGGAAACCGTTGATTCAAATATATTATATCAGGTGTTAATTTAAACATTATTTCATAACCTCGTTTCAATCTACAGCTTTGAGGATTTTGTCCACCAAATGATGAAAAATTTTTAAATTAAGGAATTATTTAAGAAAAAGATAGAAGATGCTAATCCGATGGAACAAATAATTTATTTGGATCATAAACTTTCTTTTAAAAGCACAAATTCAAATATAGGCATTAATGCCAAGGTTGGACTTGATAGTTTCAAATAAATTGAGCATTAGCTAGAGATTCAATAATAAATATATTCTTGTTATACCTCAATGGGTAGAAAAATTGTATTTCTGATGTTTCAAGAAAGCCACTTACTCTGAAGAGGTGGCTTACATGAAGTCACGAAACGTCGGAAATACAACTTTTCTACTCATTGGGATATAACAAAAATATATTCATTACAAATCCAAATAGTTTACTACTAATAAGTAGTAGAAAAATTAGATTGCACAAAACAAAGGACTACAACAGAAAATAACTTACAATAACATCTAGTTGTTCATTAATTTCATTGGTTTGATTGTTAATAGTAGGATTGGTGAAACTGTTACTTTCATTGATCCTTTTTAATGGAGATTTGAAAGGGGCATGTACGCTGGAATATCGCTTTTTAGTCGTTCTGGTGGGTGTTGACATGCTGAACAACTAAACATTCACATGGAAGTATGTAAATGAGGAGGTATTAACAAGTATATCTATATACAGGAGGAAAAATGGAATACTAGAATATTCATCTATTTACAGCGTGCAGATTACATAGTGTGAAAAGAAACAAAAGAGGTAGATTTTGTTGATGAGATACAACAAGCATAGTAAAGTGCAAGAACAAAAGAGTCAAACAATTAAAGTGGTCTACAATGATTTTACTAGTCATCTTTTTTCGAAGGAAATCCTTGAGCTATACACTGTGGACAATACCATTGTCCACGTGGTTTGCTCACCAAACCAACACACTCAAAATGGAACCATTCAATTGCACAGTCACGATTATCGCACGCAACCATTTCGCCATATGATACTTGTTGACATATACAGTAGGTAGGTTCATTTGGATCAACTGGCATGTCTAATACTTCTCTAGGATTATTCGTCAATGCCAATGCCAATGCAGCAGTAGCTGGGATTCTAGATTAAAGACAAATAGGAAGAAACGAAAAACAGGATAACTCAGAGAAAGTTACAAAAAGTAGAATGCATTTTCATTGGCGCCCCCAGATTCCCTGGTAAGGTCAGACCTGCCTCCCTCCCAAAATACTCTCACATGGCCAAACGTATACAGCCACTGCCAGGCTACGGAACTCACATATAATTTGGCGAAAATTAGATAACGCAAAGACTATTATTATAATAGTGATAATTCCTCTGAATGTCTTGAGACGATAAGGGTATTGAGAATGCTCTCATTCTTGAAATGTCTGTATGAATTCTTAAGAATCACTTATGGAAGTTCTGCTTATCGCCTGAGCGTAGCGGTTTTATCGAATGTAAGAGGATCAAAAGTGGATGTCCTGATCGTAAAATGGGCTAGTGGGTATTCAGGGTCCACTTAAGGGAGTACGAAATCCTGATTATAAACCAATGGTGTACACAGGCTCCGGGATTTCGAAATAAACTACGAAGTCATTTTGGTCACCGACTACCATGGCACTGTATCTAACGTTACCTCACTACTTTGTGGATCGAACCCTTAGGTCAAAGACTCAGGGAGTGGTCCCTTAACAAAATCGTCTTTCATTTGAGGGTCCAAGGATCCAAGCAGTGTTCGATTCAACACTCGCGTACACAAAGAATATTAATGATGAAAATAAATGTAGTTCATATAACACCCATTTTAGTTCCAATCAGTAGGGCGTGAAAACATAATATTACTCAATTATCTAAACGTGAATGGAACGTATGAGCTTTAACATGAGATCTACGATGTTATGAATTAAAAATGCAGTCGCTTGAACAGATTTATCTTTCTAAAGGGATATTTTCTAGGACGTTTTGAAATATCTCCAAAGAACTTTTCGTCAAGTCCAAAATAAAATCTTGAGATGAATCTAGAGATGCCCGTTTGGTAGTAAGTAACCCAGAACGTTGATTCACAAATGAGTAGACAGTTTCACTCCACTTGCTTTATTTAACTACTGTATTAGCATCATCAACTCCAAAATAAATCCAAGTGACAGCTTAGCATATTAGTCTGCATTCATTTACAATCTTCAGAGGTTTTAATGGTTTATTCCAGTTTAAGATGTAACATAATATTGTAACATCTTATATCTTTAAGTATATATGACAGAGTGGATTCCATAGATCTCAATATACAAATATTAAAATCTTGGCTTTAAATAAACAAATTCACAACAAACACGATCAGGTACTGCGTAAAAACTCACTTAGGAGAAACAACCGGCTCTTGTTCTTGTTTTGTTCGAGACTTTTTCACTTTCTTAGACTCCTTTTCAGCTAACATCGTAATATGGTCAAAACTTCACACGTACCTAATGCCTTTTTGAATTCAAACATATCTGCATCTAGTCGACGTATTTGTTTGTCAACTAGTTCATAAGCACTTTCAGCTCTTGACACCTTATCGTTACTAATTTCTTTGCCTTTCTTAAATAAACTTTGTATTTGTTCAATTTGTGCTTTGCGCTCTTCTTTAGACATTTCATATGCATGTTCAAAAAGATAGGTTGTGCGTTGTTGTGTTTGACGAATGATATCCTGGACTTTCTGATCAAGATCACGCATAATTTCAAATTCTTGTCGCAAATGAGGTGGTAAGTGTTCTAAATCTAAATAAACATTTGTAAAGGGAAAAACTATTCAGAAACAGAAACACATTAAGTTCATATACATATCTCAACAGTATTGTTTAACGTTGGATCTAATCAGAAAATCAATAAGAGTTCCAATAATAATCTAAAAATCATTAAATTATTGATGATCAAGAGCATAACTTAGATGATAAAATGAAAAAACCCTGATTTATTAGTAATGTAGAATATGATGTGATCGAGCGACAGCTAACGAAACTGAACCTAATGACTTATTACATTGATTAACAGTCATTAGCTGGACGAGAATAAAACCAAGTTGAACAGCTAGCAACTTGAACTGATGTAAATGTCAGCTTTTATGTTGCATATGAAGAAGTGACTGAAATTTAAAGCGAAATGCGATGGTGCAATAAGAAAATCTTACTCCCAAGGGTCTTCATGTAAACACTATTCAAAATCGTATCATTTTCAGGTCACTGTAAACGTACCAGAGATGTTAAACAGAACTGAAAATCTGCTACAATGACGCTAGTAATCTATAGAAAAGTGAAGTAACCTAGGTGGCAGAGTCGGCTTAGAGAAAAATTGAGGCCACCGCAACGATAGAGAATGGATTTAACGCTTTGAACAACTAATGGATTGCAATCAATAATGTGAAAATGCCTGACTACATGAGCTGTGAGGCCGGCGATATATGTAAATGAATCGTGTGGACTACTACGATCTCAGCTGAAATAGGAGAATAGGAATATCCCTAATTTATCGTAGTTCTGAACAAGAAGCCACTGAATGTTTGTGTAACACATTGGAAAAAATTAGTTGCAGTAGTTTGGTTAGCAGTAACCGTAATACGCTAGTGGACTGGACTTTCGACCACCAGAGTGGAAGATTTGAACCCTGCATCAACTATTTCACTTTGGAAAGCTAGGTAACACAAATAACCATTCTAAAAATATGTAATAAGGCTCAATACATCAATGTGTACTCAGCTAATAAAATACTGTACAAAGTGTATCAGCTTAGACCGACAAACAACTGTACAAGACTATGTTCTTCTCGGGAATACAACTTATGAAGTAAACCGATATCGATTTAACGTGAATGCAAGTTTAACTTTCAAAATTTTTTCGTTACGTTATCTTATGAACTTTAAATGCATTTCCGTTCAATACAACAAAAAGGGAATAATGGAGTTTCTATATTATTCTTCGAAGTGTAAGATTAAAGTCATACTACAGACCGGTTGGGACTAAGTGTATAATACTTAGGTACTGAATACAATTCAAAACCCATCTTGCACGAGCTGCTGTCAAACAACATAGAAGAATGTCCTCCGACTATAGAGATAGTCATACCTCATTTAAAAGATGACCACGACAAAGCAAAGGTCAGTTGCTCGAATTTTATTTATTTAACACATGAACATTGGTACAAGGAGGTACCATATAGACATGCTCCACATAAATCATTCCATCTGTGTGAGGGCTGGGATACTGCTCGGGTGCCCAATCAGGAGGTTGTCATAAACAACTAACCTTCGGATACATAACCAGTCCAAGAAAATGAACAAAGACGAAAAACTACTTTATTAGCATATCAACCAGGATGACATACCAGTGAAAGTTAAAACTTCAGACAAGAGCAGGTAAACTAGATTATTAATTTATTTCAACACAAACATTGGTACAAGGAGGCACCAGATATATATATATATATATATGCGCCACAATAACAATGAAAATGAGAAAAGGATGTAACGTGCGTATAAGAGAGAAGAAAAAAAGGGCCTTGAAGGTGTTAATAAACTTTTCAGGCACACCCTTCTTCAACAGACAATCCCAGAGAACAGTTCTGTCCAACGAATAGAAGGCGGCCTTGATATCAAGAAACACTAAAATTGCTGTGCTAATGTGGTATGGCAACTCGAACTGATGTACGTACGTACGAAGTTCTACGTTGTGACTGACTGACTGACGATTGTTGACCTGTAATTAGTATGACGGTGTTTTAACATTTGGCGGAGGGTGAAGATAGGATCAACACATCCTCAACCAGAACGAAAACCAGCCTGCTCCTCGTGAGTCAATCTTTCTTGAGTCCGGAACAATATACGAAGTATGACAGAAGCCAATAGTTTGGACGCAATCGGAGGTAGACTTATCCGCGATAGATGTTGCATAGATGACATGAACCCTTTTTAAAGATAGGGACAAATATCGACTTATTTAATGGCGTTGGAACACTCTAACTGGCAAACCTTTGAAAACAACTCAGAAAGTTCCTTAATCAGAAAGTTACCATCATCTTTAAAAAGGGCCGGAGGTAAGTCACCTGAGCCTGGTGGTTTGTAGCGCTCCAAGAGTCAGAGTCACGATCTTTGGAGGGCAGGGCAGTCTGATCGATCAGGGTTTGAAGATGTTATTCAGGGAGTATAATCCAGTGAAATAAATTTAGAAAGAGAAAAAAGATAGGGACGTGAAGAATACGGAAGATTAGGATTTGGGAGAACACAAAGAGTGGATGCATCTTCGCCATTGCAAACGATTTTGAGCCATGTCATTCAAGGTCTCTAACTATCGGTTGCTATAATTTTGCGGATCCCAGCCAGGTAGTCCACACCTACCAACATGGCTCAGTCCACTTGTCAGTGACTTCATGGATTTGTGCCAGGTTTTGGTCTGGCCGCCCCTAGCTTTCTTCCAGCCTAATCCTACACCATAAAACATCGCACGTCGGGAATTATAGTTACTCGTATAAAGGAGACGGAACAGCATGGTACACGTCGATTCACAGACCGATTATCTTTACAAACACTATCATTAAGATGTTTCAGAAGTTACTACAGTCGTTATAGCCCACTTCAAAACATCTCATATGAAACGGAGTATTTTAGGTTTTCAAAAGTGGTTTTGCACAACTAGATTATTTGTGTGATAAAGCTATGATGAGTCTACAGACAACAGAAAACTTGTATGTCACAATTACAGACCTTCCAAAACGTTCAACACACTAGATAGTTACTAGAGCTTAAATTCTTATGAATCCTCAACAATTTGTTGGACTAGGATCTTTATTTGCTAGAAATTGATTTTAAGTGAGAACTGGTTCCAAAATCTTCTATAAGCCTGTTGTACAGAGATGAAAGTTAAGTGGGTCTCGATGCACGTTAACACAATGGTTATAATACATACGAACCACCTACACTAAGTTCTTACTCATAATGACTTAGTTCATTGCAGTTCTTTTATGGCTGCCTTACAAATAGAATTTATGATACTATGTGCTATATAAAGGTCTTGGATCAAGATAAATACTACTTTTACGATTCTCAACACAGATCAATATCAACGAAACTACATTACTATGTGGACACTAAAATCATTTGACTAGAAAATAATTGACTTTATTATAGTTCAGAAGACCTACGAGTGTATATCTGCCTTCTTTCTTGTAAGCCTGACCATGATGTACAGAAATTTCGGTCAACGATACATAAAAGTGACTAAAACGATTGAACCCTAACTATCTCCTGAGGGTTAGGAGGTGGCTTTGCTATGAAATACTAGTAACACGAAGTATTGACCCAAGATACCCTTTTCAATAAAGTTATATATATATATATATATATATTCTGTCTTGTAGTTATGATGGAGAACGCTAAACCTAAACTGTACTATCGAACGCCCTGGAAGTTTAGTCGTTTCAACTAATCAGGAAACACCAAAGTATGAATAATTTGTTAGGCGAGGAATTAAGATTACAATTGCTACACTATAGCTGGTTTCAGCTTGAGATAAAAAACTAAATATAACACCTAACCCTAACGGCGAGACTAAAGAACATGGACGACCTTTGAACGAATCTTAAATGACCTTGAGAAATATTGGCCAATCAGAAGACAATTAGCATACAATAAAAATATATTATACAAAACTCAAAAATTAAAGGGGATACTGTTCTTTTACATGCATCAAAAACTTATCAAGGTCAGATATAGGTTCAGAAGTTCTAAAATCATAGTGCATCCGGCACAGGAAGTCATCCCTTTGGCTCCATAGTAGTCGACATCTGGAACCATGATAAAGTCCCGAAAATTCTTTCAGCCTCGATCACATAGTTTCAGTGTTGTCGGTTGTTAGTATGGTTTAGGATTAGGGTTAAGGTTTAGGGTTACGGTTTAGGGTTAAAGATGAGACCATAAATAATGGACGACATTTGAGCGACGCTAGAGTGAATCTGAGAGTGTCAACGTAATAACTAAGACTAAATGAGGGTTATAAACCCGTATGAAGATTTCAAATTATGATTTACAGTCCATGGTTAAGGTTATGAATTTTACTTAGGGTTTTCACGAACTGACATCAGCTATAATGCCACAACTCAATCCAAATATATAATTGAATTTTGCGCCAAAATCTTATGGTAACATATCTTGTAGACGCTTAATTATCATGTTTTCTCTAAAATCCTTTGTAAACTGACCGTACGTAAGCGTCAGGTACCGAACTTAGCGCTGTGACCTTGAAAACCCGCGAAAGCTTCTGATTGGCTCGTCCATGTTCTTTAGTCTCGCCACCCTAACTAATAAAACCAAACAGCAAATGTATTTCGATGTTTGCACTATGATTTTCCCCGTTTCTAATCCATTCGGCAGCAAAATTCAGCTGACCCCAGAAACGACATGACACGACTTTTACGCCGTTCAAATGGTTGTGGGCAAAATAAAAGCTTTTGACTGACGTGTTTTCACACCTAAAAGTAGTGGGTCGCCGGTGCCTCTATGTAGGAACCTAAGTATATCTGACAAGCAAAAGAGAAATACAAATAAATTATGGTGAAATACTGTCCTAAGTCCTTAAAAATTTGCCAGCTCCCTCTTGAAGGACACCTGAGAAGACGCTGAGGCCACCATATCTAGTCACGAATCCAAGGATTTGATTATTCGTAAAGACTGGACTGAAGTAAGTATTTCAGGAGGTGTCCCGGAGTGTTTAACATGCTGTTAGTCACCAGAAAACCACTTTTTATAAGCCTAAACTTTGATAGATAAAGAGCCAGTGACTTAAGATATTCATCATAAAGTTTTGAATGATCAAGTAATAATCGATTAGTTTTGGTTGATACAGAGACACAAAGCCACATAATTAACGAATCTATTACACGTGAAGTAGTTGTCCAAAATGAACACAAACCTTCCATATATTTCTGTAGGTACTCCATCGACACGGGAGAGAATGTATAGCTCGAATCCGAAGTTGAACCTGCCTGCACGACCTTGAGTCCCTCTGTTCAAGGTGAGCGTTCCATGTTTAAAGAGCTCATAGTTGGTTGAGTATAGAACATTATCATGAAAAACATCAAACCATCCGATTTGAAAAGGACAGGAGGATTGATGGCCTGTGTTAGTTCTGACAATGATGGTCTCTCAGTTGATACAACATTCTTTTGAAAAAGTCGAGGGATGGAGTTGTGGAGAAAGGACCATAAAACCTATTTTGTAAATAATTTTTCATAGTTTTTGCATGTATTTTGTGTATTTTCATACTCTGTACTTTTTAGCATTAAACAATTGTACTTGTTGTTTAAGTGTATTACTTTGAACACTTGCGATTTGACTTCCTTCCGTTTTGAGTACAACATATCGCGACGCTGTTACTGCTCCTCAATAAATACACTAATTCACATCTGCATCGTTCTGCTATATCTGCAAATATGTTAAATGAAATATTCATTGCATATCATCTATATTTATAGACAATTGTGACATTCTTATTGAATTCTACACTTGGTAAATTTACTGGATCCATACCGTCCAAATTAGGATTACTAATCTTTTATAATTGTGGATTATCTGGACCAAACTCAACCGAACACTCAATAGCCTGAAGACTTAAGTAACGTCCCTTATTTTTTATTTGTGTGTAATTAACTTATTAACTGTTAATTGTTACATAGACTTTAGACATAATATTTTTGTTGCTAATTTTTGGTTATCAAACGTTTTGGTCCACCACAATTATTTTGGTGAGCCTAGTATCTAATAATCTCGCATTTATCTCATTGTTATACTGTACTCGCTTATTGTACGACTCACTTGCTCATTTTTAATTTAATGTACTCTCCACCTAAGCTTAGTGATTTGGACCCTGTTCCAGTAACCACTCTTAGTTCATCATCAAACCTTACTGACAGTATATTTAATCCAGTCAACGCCATTTCTGAATTTAAGCTTCCACCATATGGAGTAAATAATCCTAGAATCTGGTTTGCTCAAATTGAAGCCTTATTCCAGTCCAGGGGCGTACGTGCCAAGCATCAAAGTACGCTTATGTAGTGGGCTCACTCCCGATCGAAATTGCAGCTGAAGTTGGAGACCTTATCGACCAGGTTCCGGAAACCGAGCCATATGATAAATTGAAGGCGGCTTAAATTCAGCAAACAACAGTCTCAGATGAGACAAGATTGCATGTGAAATGCATGTGATCTTGGAGATAAAAGACCTTCCCAGCTACTTCGACACATGAAACAACTTGTGGGCCCTTATAAACTAAACGAAGCCCTTCTCAAACAAATGTGGTTCAACCGATTACCACGCAGCGTCAGACAAATCCTAAATGCCTTGATGAAGTCTCCCCCCCTCGATGCTTTAGCTGATATGGCGGATAAGGTAATGGAAGTCTGCAATGATAACCACTATATAAATACGATGCAGCCGTATGGAGCAGCTGATGTCGGCTACTTAAACTCTATTCAGAGACAATTGTCTCAACTAATGAACCAACTTGCGTCACTTCAAACCACTGTAGCAACGGTGCAGGCCAGACATGTAAGACCCCCAATCAGACAGAGATCACTTTCTAGACCACGATCTCGTTCACCTAAACGAACATTCGAAATCTGTTGGCATCATACTAAATTCGACA